CTTCATAAGACCCCAACGGAACGTGTAAGTGAGCTGATCGGAGAATAGTGCGTTATACATGGTTTTTAACACATTGCGTACCGCGTGCGCCACATGGCGGCGCACGATTTCCTGCCCCGTGTGGCCGCGTGCGCCACATGGTGGCGCACGATTTTCGTATTTATTCTTTTCAGAATAATGATGGTTTCAAATGCCAATTTTGTGCATACACATAATCTTCGAGTTAGAGAATAACATATCTCTATGGGACTCCACCAGCTAACAAACTGTTCGTTATAGGAGAGCAGTTGTGAAAGTTTTTATTAGCTTGCAAAATTCAATAAGCTTGACAATCTTCTGCGCTTTCTTGAAAGTATTCAAGAAGGAAATTGATTAGATTATCTTCTATGACTTTCAGGTAACGATAAACTCAATCAAACACCTATCAAATGGAACACCTTCTATGATCACTTTGAAAACACTTTAAGCAGATATAATCGCCACAACTAGAGCATTTTGTATTTACTCGTGGAGCATGAGATCTGGCATATGGAGTAGACTGGGACCTTGTCATTTTCTTGTAGCACATGACGCATCTCCTTCTGGTTGACCGTCTAGGACCATCAACTGCAACGAGACTGGGTTTCGGTGGTACATATGATGCCGTTTGATTGTCTAAAATAGATTCTATTATTTTGGCTTTGAATTCCTTTACTCCTATTTTTCCATTGACTTCACAAAAGATGTGCCATGCATTGACTATTGCAGTCTGTGTGGTCAGATGAAAGAATAGGCGCAGGTACCATTTTGTTGACTTCCTGATGAAAGGTGTGTAAGATGTCATTTGATCAGAAACATCTACGAAAGCTTTGGCCTTGTTGTAGTCTTCAACCATTAGTGGTTTGTTTGACTCTCCTCTACGATCATCGTGGTAAGACGACAACATGAATAAGTCTCGCTTATCTTTCCATTTGAGAACAGTTATTCCATTTTGATTTTGACGAGCAATGATGTCACCTCGTCTCAACTTGGCATCCTTCACGTCATTTGGGATTCCTTGACGGTTTTTCCGTAATGTTCCAACATAACAGGTCTTCCTGTCGCGCAGTTTCTCTGCCAATGAAATAGACGAGTAGAAGTTGTCGGCCGTTAGGGTTCGCCCCTTGTCAGAATACGAATCGATCAGATCCAAGACCACCTGTTCTGAAGCGGGGCATGTTCTGTGCATCTGTCTTCCAGCGTAAACTATGAACTTAGAGGTGTAGCCACCTCTGCAGCATAACTTATAGATTTTTATACCATACTTGTGTCGTTTTCCGTGGATATATTGACGAAATATCACTCGTCCGCGAAACGGAACCATTGATTCGTCTATGCAGACGTCTTTTCCAGGTCTATAAGCCTTTTCAAAAGCTTCATTCAATGTATCCAATACAGGTTGAATCTTATACAACCGGTTAGTCTTATCGTCGAAGTCGTTGTCGGCAAAATGCAAACCGTTCAGAATTTGTATGAATCTGTTCCTGCTAATAAGTTTGGCAGCGAAAGACGCACCGAAAATCCTCCTGGTTGACCAATAATCTTTCATGTTTGAACGAATTTCCAAACCCATCTGCAGACAAATTGCGAAAAACTTGAACAATTCCTCGTGGTCTAGCATCTTCCAGTCGGAATATTTGGCCATTCCATATCGGTTCGACTCCCGCAAGATCAACTGAATCAGTTCATCGGTTAGAAAAGCTCGCCAGAAATCCATTGGTTGACGATAATCAAATAATCTCTCATCTTGAATCCCACTGGTATCGTCGAAAACGAATTGATTCTGTGCTATTATTGTGGACGACCATTGCATTGAAGTTCCCGCGTCATCTTCGTCTTCGAAGTCTGAATCGTCATCACTGCTACTTTCGACAGCTGCCAACGGTGCTTCTGGGACACCGGAATAATCCTGGTCTTCGTCGTCGCTTTCCAGAATAAGTTGATCGAAGCTGGTGTTTAGATCATCCATATTATCTGTAAAATTTTTGTGGAGTGAATAAGCGTTGAATATAAATACTCATAAGTTAATTACAGAACGCAATATTGACAATCACAAGTTTAAAATGCTCGAAAAGAAAGTCTGAGAAAATGTCTGTCTCGTGTGGCCGTGTGCGCCACCATGTGGCGCATGCAGTGCATTGCACGCGCGGCCACACGTGCTCGCCAGCGCAAAAACGGCTTGGTACGCAATGTGTTAATTGAAGATCCACACTCCAACCACCCCGTGACTGACAATCACGATGCTCTATCTGGCGCTGCTTGAAAAGGGATCTGGATAGGCTATCGATCATTTGTCAGAGCAATTCCGATGCAACAAGGACACACCGAAAATATTGTTTGGATCCCACATGCCTTGAGCCGAATCAGCTCCAAACACGATCTGACATCGTTATGTTCAAGTCGACTTACTATGGATTCTTTGATTGACCATCCATCACATTTGCCGAAGATGAGGAGGGGTACAGTGTGCTAACAAATAAACAAGCGGCGACAGTCTAGCTCAAACGCTTCGGGAGTTTATGCTCAAGTTCAACCTCGTCCAAAGGGCCTTCTCGGATTTTTGGTGGAACACGAGAGGAGTTGAGCTCTGGAAACCCCTCGTGTAGATGTCGCAGTCAACGCGAAAGTCAACCGTCCACAGCTCGAATGCAACGCTTTTAATACGAAAGAAAAACAAGGCAAAGTTTGCTTTTTTATGACACCGTTGAACCACCTCTTGCTAAGAAAATCCAGGAAAATTTCAGGACTCTCGGACGACCTTATAGCCTGACCTCGTGCCAAAGGATGCCCACCTGCTCCCCTCTCCAGACCACCTCCTAGAGAAGAAATCTCATCCTAACCATGATGATGTCAAAATCGACATCTGATCTTTCTTCGATCAGAATTCAGTTCTACAAGAGAGGCATCGAACAGCTTCTAGTGCGTTGGCAATAGGTTGTAGATATTGATGGTGGTAGCATGCTGGATGAATGGAACAAAAAGATAATAAAAATATTAAATTCAAAATTCGGCCAGTTTGTTGCAAGACTTATGGACCGACCTAATATTATATTGGATTGTTGCATTATAATGTCGCTTTTGGACGTACACAAAATTTGTTGGAACAGCAACAATTCGGCATCTCAGAACAAGAGATGGATACCACCTTATTGTGTTAGAGACGATATGACACAATAAAGTGGCATCGTGCTTCTCGAAGAATCGTAGCAACTGTGCGCAGGTAAACTTGGACACCCAGATTCCGAATTTTTTGTACTCTCGGGATCTGTTTCTCCTTCAAAACGTGCCGCGTTGACTCGGATGCGCAGCACATAGATGGAGTGTGACAAGAGCTGTTTGGCGGAGAAGTCAAATGTTTTCAGCCTGGTCTCGCACTTTTTTGCTGGTGATTTTTTTCGTAAAATGCAGCTTTTTCGTCGTGAAGTAACTTCATGAAATCATTGTTTTTCTTTCTCGCCGAGCCAATGCATGGTTTGATGTAGGTCGATTTTTGTTTACGAAGACCTGCCGTGACCGTGTGAGCTGGAATTCATCCCCTCAAGATGTCGTAGAACATTCACGTGTACACACGGAAATTCCGGTCAGTCATCGTTCAAAGAAAAATTCATGTAAAAAAAAAAATGATATGGGCAACGAGTAGTCGCTTTTATACTCCTAGATTTCCTCTTTCGAATGAATGCTTAAGTACCTTCGAGGGTTCGAAGGCAGCCGAGTGTGGTGAAGCTAAATCTGTGCGACATTTATAATGCAACAGCCCTAAATTAACCCTTTGACGACAATGGCACCCACCGGTGGGTGCCACTATGTTCGCCGCGTGGGACAATGGCACCCAATGGTGGGTGCCACCTTAAAATTTTTCTTTGCGCATTTAAAACATTTTAACATTCCAGTAATTATAAGCAAGCTTAGTAAATTATGTTTAGCACCGTTTACAGAAATGTTCAATAAGAGCTATGTACTTTATATAAAACCCGTTGGCGCCGCACGCATTGCGCGCACAACACAGATC